CCCCGGCAGAGGGGGTCTCAGTCTGGGGAGAGCGGCCGGGGTAATCGCCGAAAATTTGGGCTAAAAACGGTCTGTCTCAGCACGTCTGGAGGGGAAAGTGCTCAGCCAAGTCAGGAGCGAGGGGACGAGGGGAGACGCAGCCCTGGCGTGGCGCAGCCGGCGGCAGCGTTACTCACAGGTTGTGGGGTTATTCACATTAATATATTCACATATTATTTAAGCATAAGGTATGCAAAGCACATTTTTTTTAAAGTAATTCAGTTTTCACATCGTGTTGCAAAATACCGCAATCAAAATGACGTCTTAGGTTGAGGGGGGTCATTCTCCCCCTCTGCTCTGCACTGGTGAGGCCACAACTGGAATATTGCATCCAGTTCTGGGCCCCCCAGCTCCAGAGAGACAGGGAACTGCTGGAGAGAGTCCACCATAGAGCAACAAAGATGATTAAGGGATTGGAGCATCTCCCCTAAATGAGGAAAGGCTCAAAGAGTTGGGGGTCTTTCGCCTGGAGAAGAGAAGGCTTGAGGGGAGACCTTGTCTACGTTTGCAAGGATCTAAAGGAGGAGGGAGCCAGACTCTTTTCAGTGGTTTCCAGTGACTGGATGAGGGCCAACAGGCACAAGCTGGAACATGGGAAGTTCCATTCAAATATAAGGAAAAAGTGCTTTATGGTGAGGGTGACAGAGCCCTGGGACAGGCTGCCCAGGGAGGTTTTGGAGTCCCCTTCTCTGGAGATCTTCAAGACCCGCCTGGATGCCATCCTGGGTAATGTTCTCTAGGAAATCCTGCTTTGGCAGGGGAGTTGGACTGGATCATCTCTAGATGTCCCTTCCAACTCTGACAATTCCATGATTCCATGATACCCACCCAGAGGCTCCGGCTCCCGTCCCACAAACGCTCCTGTGTCTGCTTGAGGTCAGGACACAAGCAGGTAAATGTTCTGAGGGTCCCCGAGACCCCACTGTGCTGGAAGCCTGTCTGGTTGGGGGAGCTGGGCTCCAGAGATGCTGTCACTGCCAGCCCCAGGGGAGCCCCGCTCCTGGGGAAACAGGCTCCATCGCCACGAGGTGTAGTAACAACCAGGTGTAGAACAAGGAAAATGTGTGGAATTATGGAAGCATAAAAGTACGGAAGTATGAAAGTATAGAAGAATAAGCTCTAGACCTTGAAGTGTGTGTGTGGAGAGGTGTGTGTGTTCATGTGTATGTACACACACAGAGGCACGTGCACAGCCGTGACTGAGAGGGAAGTTTAGACATTGGAGTTATTAAAATTAGGAAGTTAGGAAATCATTTATCCTACAAAATTTGCCTGAAAGGGCAAGTGTGTGACATCATGTTTTGCTTCATTTCAGCATTTCATTTACATGTCCGAGGTACACACACGTGATGGAGCACATTCTCCCTGTGAATTCCACACGGAAGGAAACAGCTGGACACGGGCTCTGCCTCCAGCCCCAGCTGTGGCAGCAATTTCCCCTCCGCTTTTTCTCACTTTGTTGCAGGAGGAAACACCCACCCAGGTCTGAGCCAGGGGTTGGGTTTGTGGCTCTGTATGACCCTCACCACCAAAGAACAAGCCCAGAGCCAGCAAATCTCCCCAGTGGTTGTGACGACGACACCTGCTCGTCAGGCACAGAAATTCAGGTGCCATGGCGTAACCAGAATCATAGAATCATTCAGGTTGGAAGAGACGCTTGTGATCATCGAGTCCAACCATCTACCCTACTCTACAAAGTCCTCCCCTACACCATGTCCCTCAGTACCCCATCTAAACGTCCCTTAAACACATCCAGGGATGGTGACTCAAGCACCTCCCTGGGCAGCCTATTCCAATGCCCAACCACTCTTTCTGTGAAAAATTCCTTCCTAATGTTCAGTCTAAACCTACCCTGTTGGAGCTTGAAGCGTGGCAGCGGTCCCCAGGGACAGTCACATCCAGCCATTCAGCAGGGAAAGGTGGTGGCCTGCTCTGCTTTCCTCAGCCACTGCCTTTCTGGGACGATCCTTGTTTTAGCAGGAGGGGTATTTTGGCTCACCTCCCTTCTGGGGATGAGAATGCCCAGCGTAAAAGGCTGCAGAGTGCGCGGCACACGTGGGACAGGAGGGACAACAATCTCCTTCTACAACAGAAGGGCTGTCGTCTAAGGACTGCGTTAATGCTTTAGTTAATAAACCCGGGCTCTCTGCTCTGTACTAAGCAACAGGTCTTCATATGGTGATGAAACAGCACGCAGGTATACAACAGAGAGATGAAATAAGCATTTCAAGCCTCAATAAATTATAACAAGTAAATTAGGCATACAATGTAAGAGGAAGGTTTTTACCTTGCAAATTTGAAAGGAGAAACGGTGCACGTTGCTGGTTGTGATGAATGACTTGCTGCACCACCGTAACTCCAGTGTACCCAGTCACGCTCCAGAGAGACCTCTTCAAAACTCCTCAGGTGGAATATTTTTCTGTCAGAAGGTGCTAGGTTGTGAAAAATGGAAACAGGATTATCTCAACAAACTTCATATTCAGAGAACAAAAAATCAAAATGAAACACTGCAAACAGAAAAGTATTTCTTCTTGTCAGTATTTCTTTCAAAACTTATTTACTTAAATTTGCATTGTAAGTATCACTTAGAAGACTGAGTTTGCTAATTCTATATTTTAAAATTTTTGTTTGTTTATAGCATATCACAGATGAAAATAAACCAAGGGCACATAACTTAAAGCCATCAAAATAGCATCTTGGTAACTGAAAGATTTTTTTTTTTTCTTTTGCATTGAAGGAAGTTTCAGACTTCTAATTTTATTCTGCCTTTTAGTGACTTGTAATGATAGAATTTTCTGCAGGATGACAATTCCGCTTCAACCAGCTGTAGAGTGAGAGTTAACATTCTTCTTTAAAGACCTGAGTCCAAATGGTTGTTTAAAGTGCGAGTACGAAGTAGTGTGGTGATGTTGTGGTAACGTCGGGTTACCATCTGTCACATTATTTCTGGGATCTGCTTGATTGATTCCTAGCAAATCACTTCCTGCCAGCTTTATTTGCAAAACTTTAATATGGGCAAAGGCTATTTCTGTGTTCGTGAGCCCTCGTTACCGGGGAACGTTTCATTACCAAGTGATGACATTGTGTAAAATATCCCTGTGCATGGGCAAATGCCAGCACCACTTCCCGACGGTGGGACGGCTGAGTGCATCTTACTCGGCAACCCCCAACAGATGCCAACCTTAAAATTTGTCGACGGCGCAACAGTAGCCCGTGTTCTGACACCCTTCAACGCCTCGGGTGCTCTGCTGACAAGAGGCTCGTTCTGCTGAAATCGCAAGAAGGCTGATGGTTAAGAAGGAATTTTCTCCAGAGATAAGTGGCCAGGTTGAGCAACGCCTTGGTCACTTTGCCTGCCCTGGGTTGTTCCTGCTGCCTCTCCCACCGGAGCACCAAGGCACAAAGTACAGCCGGGGTGAACCGGGGCACAAATCCCTGTGGGTCAGGAGTCCACAGCCTGCTCCCCGGCCTTGCCTTATGGCCAAACCATATCCATTTGCATTCCTGTGCCTTGCTTTCTTCTGTAAAATGGAAATCCCAGTTTTTAAAAGCATTTTGAGAGGTTTTGCACCAAGCGCGGGTGTGAAATGTCATTGCAATCAGGACAAATAGATACTCTGTCAACATGCCGTAAACCCTTTAACTGGGGTGCCTATTTAGGTCCTGATCTTGCAACGATTTAAGCCCACTTATGGATGTGAGTAGCCCCGTGGAAGACTGGATTACACATGCACTTAAGTGTTATCAGATTGAAGTCACAGAACAACAATCACAAAAGGTACTTAATCACCTTTAAATTACAGCGTTCCTAATTTAGCTAATGTTATTCCCCAAGGAAAAATTGCCTCATCTAGCATACAATCAAGAAAGAATCAAGGGCTGTTCCTTCAAGTGGTTGACAGTTCAAAAAGAGATATGATTTTTTAAAAATAGGTTGCTAAAGGCTGAACTATTTAATTGAATTATCTCTTTAAGAAATGGATGCAAATTAATATTATAATACTCCATTATATTGCCACAGAATCTTTCCTCCTCAAGCCTTCATAAAATATATTAATAAACCTGAAAAACAAACCAGCATTCTGTCCCTGTTTGAGGCTTTCTAATAACGATTTATAGTTTGAAGGGTGATGCTGTTTTCCTCTTTACAGATTGAGAAAAAAATGAGCCCAAGAGCCTTCGAGAGATGGAGTCCCTGACATGATTTCCTTCAGCCCTCAAGGGGGTCACCAGGTACAACCCTGCTCTGTCCAGAAAAGCGGATGAGCTCACTTGACTAATTGGATGGAAAGGTACAAGAGCAGGCAACGCAGCCAGAAAGATGACAAAAGGAATTGATCCAAAATGGAGCAAACCCAACAGCATCCACGTGAGCCAGCCATCCTAACAGCATTACAAATATTAAATAGTGGTGCCTCCTTATCACTAGTGAAAAA